CTAAATCCCAATGGAAATTAAATGAGACTTTTTTTTTTTTTTTAGCATAAATTCTCTGATCTGTGCTTTATGCAGGAGCTGTCACTATGTGTTTTACACAGCTTTAAAATAATCGTTCTTTATAAGTACTCAGTGAAAGTTTAGTTTTCAAAAACTTTTACTTTCTCCTTCAAAATAAACGTATGTCCCCGTTGGTCAGCACCTTCACAGAATGTTTTACTGAATCGCAATGCGAATTCAAGGCGCTGTGATTATTCACACACTGCACAGAGCAGCGTGCTGTGTTCCGGGAGCTGAGCTCAAGGTCTTGTTCAGCCATCTGGTGCCTCCCTGCAGCTCCTGGGCATGGCTCTTCGAAATCAGCAGATAGCTTTCCATTCCTTCCCTGGGACTGGTGGTGCTCCTGCTCTCCCTTTGCAAAAGCTCAGGTGCAGCTGTAAGGACAGAAATCACTCGCTGAACTCATCCAGCTCTGCAGTCTTTTCCTTGTCTCTTCCCTTTTACACAGTGCACGCCTGACAATTGCTCTGCACCTGCTTGTGTGCTACCTACAGCTTTCCTTGCTGGTGTCCAGGAGCCTGTTGTATGGTTTTCCAAGCAAGGCAGGGAAAGGACACATCCCAAGATCACAATTAGCCTGACAACTAAACCAGCGAGAATGTGCTGGTATAGGAAAAAATGTTGCTGCATCCAGCTTTTTTTAAAAAAAGTCCTCTGTTCTAAAAATTGCAAGCGACATGTCGTTTTCCTGACCGGGTTTGTTGTTGTACAAGTGAGCAGGATGGTGTTTGGGCTTCACAAATACAACAGAATTGGGTGTCTTGTTCCTAAAATGGGCACAACACAGTCTGTGTTGATCTCTACAGCCTTTGTGTTTCTGATAATGAGGAGAAGACAAAGCTACGTAAAAACGTGAGTGATGGTAACGACAGTAGTACCGAGTCCCAGGGCTTAGTGGGAGCCTGAGCTCCCTGTGATCTGTGTCCCTGTGATCTCTTTAGGGGTGTCGGTTTGTAAAGTGTAAAGAAGCCCTGGTAGCAGTGTGCTGGTAGGGATGGGGCCCCTCTGAGGTGCTGTGCAAACCTTCTGCCTAACGTGTCATTTGTCACTCCAGGCCCTGGCTGAGAGGATTTGCTGCACCGGCCAAATCACCATATTTGTAGATATCCTGGCAAAACGTCAAGGATAGCGGCTGTACACCAGCACAAGTGGTACCGGTAAAGCTTCCCGGAGTGGTGGTGACTTTAATGTCGAGTCAGTAAAATGTAGGTTCTCAGTTTACACAGAGAAAGGGAAAAAATTTACACTGTTATCACTGTGTCCACCCTAAATGTAATACTGGTAGGATTACTGCAGGAAAACAGCAACAACAACAAAACAACTCCTAAAAAGGTTGTGTTCTTAATCAATGTGTTTATAGTAGTAAAAGCCAAAAGATTGGGTCTGTGTGTTGGGTTTGGGGGGGTGTGGGGTGTTTTTTTGG